TACCCAAAAGGAACTGCATATTTGCATATATTCAGGACACCACTGTAACGAATCAGTGCACTCCCAACGTTCATCGTTCCATTTTCCTTGCCTTTGTTACACACACGAAGAACCATATGTATGTATATGTTCCATGAAATTCAACTGGAAATTCCAAAGAGTTCACGAGCCTGCGCACTGTTCCATCCCACCTTCAGTACGCAATGTTTTGATAGTAAAAACGAATGTGAAACGGAGGCGAGGATAAATGCAGCCAACGCACCAATACTAACAGCACGCGGTCGAAAATTGTTTACAAATAAGCGGAACGCCACGTGGCACATACAAATCGACGGCCATTGGAAGAATGTGGACAATGGATATGCTTCTGCATGTGTGCATGTGTGTGTATGTTTGCATGTGGGTATATTGTGTGAATGTATGAATGTATTAGTGGATACTATTCTGCCCTGGGAGTAGAATTTTGTACGCTCCTTACGCAAGCCCACGCACCGGCCGGCTACAAACTTTAATTTCGTTGGGCCTACGGGACGCCTTGATGACGTCGGTGCTGTGTCGACATTGAACTACTTACAACGGTTCTTGTCACATACATATGTATGTATGCATGTGGCCCATTGGGCTGAGCTTGGTGGCCAAGCTCATATTTTTGGTTGATGACGTCAGCAAAGTTTTATTTATGGCCCGAACAGCAGTTAATCCAATTTACAACCGAAGCTCGAAGACATTTCAATTTGTTTTCTCACTTTACGACTTTGGCTTCCGGATCATTCGGCGTATACGTGATGTGTTGATTTCTCGCCAATCGTAAATCGTTCGTTGGCTCTGCGCTTGAGATAGGAAACCTTAATTAGTTATTTAATTATAAATGAATATGCTTAGATTATGCAGACTTATGCTAAATATGCCCTCAATTGATTTGATTTCACGTTCACTTTGACAAATATGTATATCTAGTACAAATGTATTTTAGTTTCTCGAACATACTGATATATTTGTATGCATGTATGTATGTATGTATATAATGTAGAAATTGTTTGTGTGCAATTAAAAATTTGGGCATTCGGCATAAACATAAATACGATTGTTTGCAACAATTGTGGCAACAACAATTGCAAAATTGCATCGCCTCAAGGCCAAATGGCAAACTGTCTGAGAGCGCCTAGGGTTTTACAACTTTGCTAGACGAGAATTATATGTTTTTGCTACGACGCAAAAGCACCTCAACTATATGGCAGCTATATAGTAGTATAGTATATTTCTCTTATATAAGAGAAATACATATATTGCAGATGAACGAAAGATCGTAAACTCTGGGTCGGATGTTTAGGAGTGGAAATTGAGGATTGTTTTTATTTCGTTTTCATTTCAAGTCAAGTTCCCTTGGGCTGTATAAAGAATAATAGAGCCGATAAACTATGCTAATTCATTTATCAAACATATGATTTAACTGCTCTAACTACGCATTAAACACGTTTATTTATTTACATTTCGATAAGAGTCTCAACAATAATGATAACGTCAATTTGCAAACAATGTCTTGGTACCTTCAAAAGCTAGCTCTAATTCTCTCATGGAATTTTCCAACACTTAAATTGCGTATATGCACAGCACTTACCCCATTTATTTCTGCATTACATTCTCTTTTTTTTTTTCATTCCATCTCAATATAAAATTGAACTAAAGTAAATTTTCTGTTCTCAACTCTTTACAGTTACCGGATTCTCGTCTTTTCTCTAATTAACAAATCCCTTTTTTGTTTACACAACAAGAAAAAATATTGACACGATTGTACGTAGCAAAACAAACCTCGCGTTAATCGCTCGTGCTGTTTCCCCCCATTCTGTCTGTTGGCTTGAAGCCCTGTGGAATTTTTCAAGCTTTTTTTGCGTCACATATTAAGGTATTTATGTATATAAACACATACACATAGACGAGTGCGAGTGTGTGCGAATAGAGCGAAAAACAAGAGGAGACCAAAGCAAAGGCAAAAGCAACAGCAAAGGCAGCCAGCGAAACTGTGCCAGCCCCGTCGCTGTCCCCTCGCCGATATCAAACACAATAACAATAGCAATTGCGATCGTCTGTCGTCGTCACCCACCCCAAAAAAAGAGACAAAAACAAAAAAGCAACAACCTAGAGCTGTGTATATAAACACGCTCGTATCAGCGAACTGTGTGCATTCAGCATTCGACATCGAAACAATCGTCGCTAGAAGAGCTCAATTTTCAGTCGCATTTCGACACTCGTTGGAAACGGATCACAAACGGACCGAAGCATACGCAGGGCCATCTGTGCGAAAAAAGTAGACAACTGCAAGAGTGCATATACTACTTTTAACGGTATATGTAGACGCGTATTATAATCTACATAAATATATCTATCAAGCGGACAAAGTGTACAAGAAAATCCACTTCGATGTCGATTAATTCGCCAATATTGTTAAAAAACTCTGACCTGTATTAAACAGGCAAAAGCGATAAATACCAAAACAAAAAGAGGAAAACTTAACTAAGGTTAAATTCCTAAGCGAAAACAGCAGAAGAAAAATAAAGACGAAAAAAAAAAAACTTATTAAAGACATTAAATTCAATTTAGCAAATCAACCACAAGTTGTTTGCTTTTTAGTTCGCGTTACGGTTTTCTTTTAATTTCCTTGTGTTTTCCAACGAAACGAAAAGAGAAAAGTGCAAACAGTTTGAGAGCAACTGCGAACAGTAGACATCAAACTTGAACTTTGTGTT